TCTAGATAATGTTTATATTTATTTATGGCTGTTTTTGTGCGTGTGTAGATAGATAGATAGATAGATAGATAGATAGATAGATAGATAGATAGATAGATATAGATAGATAGATAGATAGGTAGATAGATAGATAGATAGATAGACAGACAGATAGATAGATAGATCTATCTATCTATCTATCTGTCTGTCTGTCTATCTATCTATCTATCTATCTAACTATCTATCCAGCTATCTATCTATCTACCTATCTATCTATCTATCTATCTATCTATCTATCTATCTATGTATACGTTCCGCATGTGTGTACTTATGCATGAATGTATGTTTGCATGCTGCATGTACGTGTATGTCTTGTTCTAGAGATCTCTCTCTCTCTCTCTCTATATATATATATATATATCTATTCATTGTCTGGTGCTCCGTGTCAGATCAGGGAGTCCAGTGGTTTGTGGTTGTAGGTGTTGTCCATGGTTGAAAAAAGGCCCCGGACGTTCCAGCCTGCTCTCCAAGTCGAGGGTCTGAAGTTCAGGACAGCGTAGGACTTAGCTAAACTTGAAACTCGAGCACGTTGCAGGGCTTGGGGGTTTTAGGTATTGGGGCATCCGGAGTTCACAGACGGGAAGCTACATGCTCCTTAACTTACCTTACCTTACCAAAACCTACTTTTTCGTAGGGTCCTTACAATTCCATATTAGGGCTTATAATAGGAACCTACAAAGTAGTTTAAGGTAGGCTTTAAGGCTTCATCACGCAGGCACCGAACCGCAAAGCCTGGGTCTGCCGTAAGCCCTAAACCTTAGACTCTAAGAGTCACCCTGAGACGCCAAGACCTCAAACCCGAAACACCAGACCCAAAAACCCTAACGCCCTAAACCCCAAAACCCTGAAGCCCAAAGCCCTGGAGCCCTAAACCCTAAAGCCTAAACCCTAAACCCTTGAGCCCTAAGCCCTAAAACCCTAAAGCCTAAACCCTAAACCCTAGAACCTAAACCTCAAACTTCAGGTTGAAGATGCTTGTGGAGATCATCTTCATGCCCATCGCACTGGTCCACTGGATCTGTCGATGTTACCTCGCTTCGCCACGTGCCAGGCCGCTTCCTTTGCCTAGGGCTCCTGTCGCTCCTGTTTCCATGAACACCCCCCTTGACCCTAAGCCCTATGACCCTTCATTGCGGACGAGGTCTCGACTCTATTTCAGATAGCATGCTGTAGTTTTCTGCCCGACTTTTACCTGCGGCCCGGAGCGGTAGTAGAACTTGTTGCCGTAGTCGCAATAGCAGCCGTTGTAATTGTCAGTCTCAATACCAACCATTATTCTTCTTATTCTTGTTATTACCATGATCATTATTGAACGATCAGCCTTGATATCAGTAACTGGTGATAGCGATTCCCGCTCCTTGTGGCGACACTTGTAGATGTATGTGGTAACCCTAAACCCTAAAACCTAAACCCTAAAGTAGTAGTCGTCGTCCTCCTCCTTGTCGCGATCCGAGTACCTCTTCAAAGGAACCCTATTTTAGGTATCAAGACCCTTCTGTTGGAGTCAGGGCCTGCCCTTGCAGGCGTGTGAGGCCCCCCACGACCCCTGACCCTGCCTTTTAGGGTTTAGGGGCCCCAAACCTAAACTCTGATAGAGATAGCCCTCCTTTTAGCGGCCCGCATGTAAAGCACCCCTTAAAGGAACCCTCTCTCTCTGGCCTCCCTTTAGGTAATTCTCTAAATTCGGGTCCCTTTGAGGGTTCTATTTCTATAAGGGTGCCATACCTTGGGGCCCTGAAAGGGACCCTAATTTACAGAACTACCCATCTAGAACTCTTATCGTACCCTTATAGAAACCCTAGAGAAACCCTTATAGGTCCCTGTAAGGGACCCCTACAAAAGGGACCATCATTTAGAGAACTACCCCCTTGGAGGCAAGTGTGGCTGGTTACTCCCAAAGCTAAGCCCTAAATTTCTAAAAGCGACACCCTAAACTCTAAAACCCATATGGTCCTCCCGCAGGCAAGTGTGGCTGGTTACCACATTGGCGGTGTGCCTCTTTGAGCTGTGGTCTTCGGCGATGTTCATTGCCTTCGTCCTGGACTCCACCAAGGTGGTTGAGGGCTTAAGGAGTTTAGGATTTTAGGGGTTTGGGGTTTAGGGCTTTTGTCGGTGCCAGTCAAGATGATTGGCGTCGTGATTTTGCTAGAGACTTGAGGCCAGGAGTTTAGGGTTTAGCGTTTAGGCTTTGAAACCTCAGAATCACAAGCTTGCAACCGGTCTCTGCCCACGTGCATCTTCATGTTAAAGCAGGCAGTGTGAATGAGCAGCGCCTGCTGCATCACACCTCCGGGGGCTTGTTGTCATAAGGGTCTTGTGTACAAAATCGCACAGCATGTCGTCGTGAAGTTGTAGGGCATTGTAGGGACTGTACAGTTTTTCGTGGTGCGGCACGGTTCTGCGCAACATTGGCGCCTTCATTCAGCCCCGAGATGCCGCATCCAGCGGGATGGTTAGGGTGTGTGTGTGTACCCTAAACCCTAAACCCTAAACCGGTATACCTATCGACGCGACGATGATTCTCGTGCTGACTCTGCAGAGGTGGCTGGGCAGACTTCCTTCTGCCTCACCTCTTGTTTGTTGCCAGCCTTCCTGAACCCTACCTGGCCCTACTTGGAGGTTCATGGGTAGTTATAAATGGGGTTATAAGTAGGGTAACTACAATTATAACCCATATTAGGGGACTTATAACCCTACTCATAACTACCCATGAACCTCCAAGTACCTATAATTATCTATAAGCCCTGAAGCCTAAACCCTGCCCGTCTCAGGGGCATAGATGTCGTGCCCATAACCCTGAGCTTCACAGCCTTTCTCTAAGAGCCTCGGAGGCCGAATTCTTGTATACGCTGCTGAGCATCGACCACTACTCCAACGTCCTCTTCATCATCGACGCCATTCTGCGGGCCTTGGATAAGATCCGAGGGCCTATGGACAATGGCCCCGACGACATCGAATCTCTGCAGAATGGACCCAGGGATCTTCGGAATTCTCAGCTGGGATGGAGACCGGATCGCCCTGGACCCTTACTACCACCTACTACTACTACTACTACTACTACTACCACTCCTACTCCTACTCCTACTCCTACTCCTACTCTCCTACTCCTACTCCTACTCCTGCTACTACTACGACGACTACTACTACGACTAAGACCGGGTACTACTAACGCTACTACTTGTTTGGTCCATACTATCGCCACCCCAGCTTATATAAGTGTGCAGGCGGGGATCAGACAGAAAGACAGCCGGAGGCTCCGACCGACGATGACCCAAGAAAGGGAATGGCACAGGCACAGCTCTAGGTTGCATGGGGCTCCGAAAGCTAAGTGAACTTGGCTAGACTTCCCACATCCCTATGGGAGTGTTCGAGGAGCAACACCCTCGATGAACTTGTGTTCAAACTAATAAATAGTGTACTGTCTGAAACTTTAAAGCAACTTATAAAAGCACGTGGGGCCATAGAATCTAAGCCCTAAACCCTACGTCCGCAGTAATGTCTGCTTTGGCATGTAACTGCTACGCGAAGGATCAGGCGTGAAGAGCGCCTGGGGGACGAGATGTATCTGATATAGGCTTTAGGGTTTATGGCACCCACATGATTGCCAAAGTTCTTCCTCAGGGTTTCTTACTACATGAATATTATACAGGCGCCCAAAACCCTATTCTAAGCATCCCTATATACTTATTAACTCAATCGGCTGAGGTGTCTCAGGCTCGTGTATGCATCGGAATTGGGGTTCTGTGTCTAGCATGGCACGTAGCACTCAGGTTTGAGCCCTGCACGCAATGAATGCCTCGGTAAACCTTAAAAGCCTGCAGTTCGATTTCGTAGGGAGGGGCAAGAAGCCTTAAGCCTTGAACCGGTTTGCGTGTGCGATGTAGACAAGCCTGTCAGCGTAGCTTCGTTCCTGTCAGTTTCATGCCGGCTTAATCGGTTTGGCGATCAGGGCCGGTCAGGGTTCATCGCATGAAGTCGTATGGCAGACTTGCCGCCACGTAAACTCTTGAGCCTGAAACCTTCAAACCCGGCTAACACATGGAAAGGCGATGACCTGTCATGATGTGAATCTAAATCTTAAACCCTCAATCCTAAGCCCTAATAAAGAAAACCTACACCCTAAAACCAATCTAAGGGCCGACGGAGACCTCAAAACGAACAGCTCCTTGCCGTGGGGACATGGGATTGTCATTGTGCTGTTCGGGGATTGAGTTGTTTGTGGTGGGGATTGGGTTTTGCTTGAGGGTGCAAAGGTGGGGTTGGGCGTCTATGTGTTGTTTCCTAGACGCAGAATCCTCGACAGTTTCATTCAGGATTTGTCGGAGTTTCTTGCTGGGATTAGGACTCCAGGTTTGACGGTTTGGAAAAGGGGTTAAGTTAGGCTGGTTTGCAAGGCTTGCTTGCTTTCGGCCATGCCTTTGCCCAGTGAACCTTTTTTGTATTGGTGGATTGAAATTGAAACCCGACCTCGATGAACATAGTTTATGGTTTCCTGTCCTCTTCCTGCTGCTGCTGGGGAGGACTGGGCTGAAGCTAGGGGCTTGCTGTTCAGTAGGACATTGCTTCATAGACTCATCAAGACAAGTTTCATTCGTGAAGAATCAGACAGTGCAAGGAAACCGATCAACTGAACTCCGTGAAGAAATGCGTGCCGACCAAACAAAGCTTGAGCCGGGGCCGTGCATTTCCTGCGTGTACAGTGTAGGGCTACCTTTATGGTATCTTGTATGCTGTCAGCTATCGGCAGTAGCCCCAGATTTCAATTGCCCATAAAATGCCAGCAAGAACCCTAAACCCTTTATAAACCCCAAGCCCTAAACCGGATTTTTCTTCCACGCCCGTGAACTCCAAAAGCTAGAACCCAAGGCTTCAATCCGAGCTAAACGAGAGACCTTGATGTAGGGGCCTTAATAATTAGAAAAAGGGTTTTGGAGTATTTTAGGGTTCCTTCAAAAGGGTGACTATAAAGCGTATTATAAGGATTTCAGAATAGGGGCCTTAATAATTAGAATAGGGTTTGCGGTATATAATATACTATAAGTACAATGAGGAACCCCCAAAATAGTATAGGTAATTATTAAGGCCCCTGCATATACAAAGAGGGGCAAAAAGCACGTGGCCTGCGTAAGGCTCGACATGGATCGGTTTAGGGTTTAGGGTTTAGGGTTTAGGGGGCTGCCTGCCGACTGGAGAACATGACGTCGGGTTTCGGTTTTGCAGGGCGTCGTGGGCAAGACCCACGATGGTTCGAAGGGTTTCAACTTTCCACAGGATTTTTCGGGAATCCCGGCAAATTTCATAAACCGTGAACCGTGGAGCTGTGCCTGCTGTGAGCGAGTGTGCGAGTCGAAACCGTGAACGAAGTCCCGAGGATCAAACAGCTGCTTCAGCGCTTGCCAGGGTTCAGTTCGTGCTCTTCAGAGCCACTGAACTGCAGTAATGATTACCTATGCCGTTTTTTTTTGGGGGGGTCTTTCTCATACTTTCACTACAATATACCCCAAAACCCTACTCTAATTATTAAAGCCCCCACATGAGCAGAGCGTCACGGGTTTCCAATAGGGACATTCGCAGTGAAATGACCGCGATTGTTACCGTCACCACCACCTCCACCAGCCCCACCACTCGGTACCTCTACCGCGTACTACCTCGTCGACCAATAGTTATGGAAATTCAAGGTTTGTTTTCGTCATTTGCCAGGCTCTTGAAGCTTAGTTTTAAGGAGTTTAAGCAGTGGGTTTTGTAGTCAATTTTGGGTCCAGAAGAAGTGAGGAATAGGTTTGGGGTGACTTGGGGTTCTTATACGTCGTTTACGTCAGGATTCAGGGTTTAGGTTCCAGCTTTGCGTTTGCAGGGTCTCGTCTCGAAGCTTAACACACCCGTCTATGGCCGCCAAAAAACGCCAACCACGCAACCCAGCCAAGAACCGCCGACTTCAGAGAGACTTCGGGGCGGCGAAGACTCCCTTCAGCCCCAAGCCCTAAACCCCATAGACTTTAAAGCCTAAGCCCCCAACCCAAAACCCTAAGACCTAAGATGTGAGGAGCCTTGCCTGCCTGTGCGAGAGTGAGAGAGTCGAAACCCTAAGGTTTTGACAGGGCAGGCAGTCGCAAAATAGGAGCCCAAAAAGCGAACCCAAAGCCTTTCAGACCCTAAACCCTAAACCCTAAACGAACGGGTGAGACAAGAAGCCCTTGAAGATCCACCGGGCTGCAAGTTCCGGGAGCAACACCCGAAACCTTAGAGCTTCGAGCCACAAAATCCGAACCCATAAGGCCACCCCCGAAACCTTCAAGTTTAGGGTTTAGGGTTTGGGGTTTGGGTTTAGGGCCGACATGTCTGCTGGGAACTGTACGATCGGGCTTCGGGTTGCGGGCTTCCGGGGCTTAGTTACGTTCAGGGTTTGGGATCAGGGTTTAAGCTTTCGAGTTCTTGGGTCAGAGTTTACCTGCTTAAAACGTTGTTTCGTAGAGGCCCCTATAAACGGGACATCGGGGTTTGTAGTAAGAACCTACAAAAAGTTAGGTTCTGGTAGTTTAGCTTAAACCCTTGACTCAGCATCCAGCTTTTTGTGCTCAACCTTTACATTCCGGAGTGTCGCCACAGGGAACTTAGAATCAGAACCCTGGTATCGGCATAAAACCGTAAACCCCTCAAGCCGAAACCCTACCCCCCGAAAGCTTCGCACCCGAAAGCCCCAACAGCTGTAAAGCCTTCCACGACCGAGGCTGCTGCAGCAGTTCGTAAAGGCAACTTGACTGACGCCGACGAGGGGTTGGTGACAAGCTGTGGGGCTTAGGGCTGAAGATAGCGTAGGGGTTTCGGGATGGTTTCGGGTTTAGGGTGTAGGCTTTTCATTCGGGTTTAAGATCACCTTTAGGGTTTAGGGTTTAGGGTGTAGGGTTTTCATTCGGGTTTAAGTTTACCAGGTGGGAGTATAGGCTGAGGTTCCTGATAAGCTCAGCATTCGCCGAGTCTCTTGGGGAGGTCCGTCGGGGCATGGCACCGAAAACAAACAAAACCCCTACACCCTAAACGGAGGCAAGCTCTTGCCTTACCTGGTTGGGTTACGACTAGTGACTAGGATCTTTGATAAGGTCATTGACAGGTAGGTTTCGGCACAATATCAGGGTCTGAATAAGTAGCTATCGTACTCCACCTCCTGCAGCCTTCGTATACTTCTACAACTAACACCAAATCCCTCAATCCTAAACCCTATAAACCCAAAGCCCAAGTAATCCTAAACCCTGCACACCCCTAAACCCTAAACCTTACGTTCACCCTCGATGACCGGTTGCTGCGTTTGGGCCGGCTCTGGGCTTGCGAATCCGGGTTTCTATCAGGCGTGCATCTGCCCATAGGCCCCATAGTAGCTCCTTTTTTGGGATTACCTTATAGGATTCTATATATGAACCCCAAAAAGGAACTACTTTAGGGCCTATGGGTACATCTGTGGCAGAATGGGTAGATGCCAGCTTGTTGGGGCTTTATTGCATGGCTTTCGGGTACAGGGTTTAATTAGGGGTGTAGGCTTTCGTGTTGAGAATTCAATTGCTGCCGATTTTTCTTGGTCAGGAAATTTAGCAACTAGGTCACAGCCGGACGCAGCGGGACCTGCGTCAAAAACATATTATACAAACCGTATCTATTAAGAGACGACCTCACAGTATGCCATCCAACAGCATGCTATTCATCAAAACTCAATCCGCACTAGAGCGCTAGAGAACCAGCCCCACCGAAAAGAACTAAACATCCTTCGCCACGCTTTCGAGCAAAAAGCAAAAAAGAAAACATGCCCAGCAAGCAAGTAAACCGAATGAACTAAGTTGAGCATAATGTAACTCACGCCAAGCTATGAGCCCAAGCCATGTAAGAATGAAGGCTAGAACCCAAACCCTTCCAGGACCAGACCCCGAAGAGTCCTACAAAACCAAATTCCACCAAACCCTCAACTGCCCTTGCAAACCCTATAAGGCTTGCTTCGCATCCTACACTCGGATCCCCAATTCTGAACCAGGATCCAGCCCCAAAGCCCTACCTTTCAACCCTACATCCTAAACCCTGCACCCTAAACCCTCAACAGCTCCTAGGTTGGCACAACGACCACTCTGCAGAAGGGTGCTCTTCTGCACCTTGCTGTTGATCTGGTGGTTCGGGTTTGGAGATCAGGCCTTACAAAGGTTTCATCTAGGTGTGAGTCCGCAGCTTTCACTTTCGCTACTACTCGTAATATTGTTAAACCCCCAGGGCATACTCAGAGCATGTTTCTATTATGGGTCTGAGGGGCTTTCCGTGATGTATGGA